ATGGGACCCAGTCACCTGGAGAAGCAGTAGTGAGAGGTGAGATGGCAGGACAGGAGAGAATGTCTTAGGGCAGGTAGACATCACCCTATCTCTTCTCTTTCCCCAGGAACATGACATTGAGACCCCCTATGGGCTGCTGCACGTGGTTATCCGGGGCTCTCCCAAGGGGAACCGCCCAGCCATCCTGACGTACCATGATGTGGGCCTCAACCGTGAGTGCTGCTCCCTGGGCTGAGGGTGCAGGGGCAGGCATGAGTGAGCCCGAGGCTGCATTGGGTGCCAGGACATTGGGACAAAGCCCCTGGCTGAACCCCTTTGAGGCCTCCCTCCTCCCATGGAGGTCCCCAGGCAGCATTGGATCCCCACCGTCATCTGAAAGCACCATGAGAGTCTGAATGCTCAGCTGGACCCAAAGCCAGGCCAGTCGCAGCCAGGAGTGCTTGGCCACCCTGGTGCTGGCTGTCTGCCCACCCACACAGGCAGGGACGGGACATGGGGGTTGCTGGGTTAGTCCCCACTGCTGCTGCTGCCAGCCCGTTGGTATTCAGTGCATGGACCAGCTGGCAGCAGGGCATAGTGGGGGACAAAAGAGACTGGAAATAGCAGGGAAGGAGGGATCCTGGGCTGGGTCTCTGGATGTGGAGATGCTGCACTTTCTGTCAGGCTGCAGACTTAGACCTGCACCCCAGACCCCCTTCTTGGGCTGTGCCCCCCACCTGAGCCAAGACACTCAATTCCCTGGGAGCAGGGAGAAGCATCTCCTGCTCCACTGGCAGCTCCGGCACACTACACGAGCTGCCTCACCATTGCAGCAGCTCTGTCATGTTCAGGTGCAATGGGCCTTACAACCTGCCTCACCCTCACATTTTGGGAGGGATGTCCCACCACTGATGCCATAAGGCAGGACCCTTCTTAAGCCCTGGCAAAATCTGTGTGCCGCTGTAATGGTGGGGGCTTGTCCACAGCAGCACTGGGACTGCTTCTTTGACTGTTTCCAACCAGGAAGATTTGCAGTTATTTCTCACATCCCATGTTTGCTTGAGCCCTTTCAGGGGATTTTGGACAGGACTGACAATATTCCAGGATGCTAATTCCACTGCCTGCTGGGTGGTCTTGCAGCCCTGGGCTTCGCATCCCCTAGTCCCATCCCTCCAAGGCTCACTAATGAGGTTCACCCCAAACTCATCCTTCTGGCTGTGTCCATCCATCCCCATGCCTCCTGATACCTATAGAGATGCAGTCCTTGCTAACGGTAGCTGTGGTCTCTGCTGTGGAGGCAAAGAGCCCGGGGGGAAGGGGATGAAATGGCTTTGATGGCATGTTATCTTCTAGCTGAAGGGCTGGGAAGGGCAGGCAACCTGTCCATGCTCCCCTGGCCCACCAGACCCCAGTGGTGGGGTGTTTGTTCTCTCATCCCCATCTGCTCTTTGGCAGACAAGCTTTGCTTCAACACCTTCTTCAACTACGAGGACATGCAGGAGATCACGAAGCACTTTGTGGTGTGCCATGTGGATGCGCCGGGCCAACAGGCAGGAGCCTCACAGTTCCCTCAGGGGTAGGTGCCAGCTGCAGGGGCTTGCTGTGCCTGCTGGGATGTCACCTCCCTGCCTATTGGGTTGTTGCTGCTTGGCAGTTGTGCTCTGCCTGTGAGTCTTGCCAAACTGTGTCAAAGCCTGTGGCTGACGACTGGCACGGGGTGGGCAATGGGGAGGTTTGCAGGTGGGTGGCAATTCTTTGCCCACTATCCGTAGCCCATCTGCCCTGTCCCGCTCTGCACAGGGCCCATAACCCCATCCTGTGTCTTCTTGTGCCACAGGTACCAGTATCCATCTATGGACCAGCTGGCTGCCATGTTACCCAGTGTGGTGCAGCATTTTGGGTGAGTCGACCACTTCACCATGGCTACTGGCTGAAGGCCCAGGAATGGGAGATGGGCAGAAGGCAAGGTTTTGGGGCTGGGGAGTTGTTCCTGTAAGCTGGCATACTGCAAATCTTCTTGTGCCCCATGCTGTGGGTGGAGGGGTGTCCCAGGGAACATGTGCTGAAGCCCACTGTCCCCCCATACACACCTCTCTGTATTTCCAGGTTCAAGTACGTGATTGGGATCGGTGTTGGGGCAGGAGCCTACGTGCTGGCCAAGTTTGCGGTGAGCCTGGGGCTGGGATGGGCTGGCCCTGAGCTGCCTGTACCTGCTGTCAGCCCAGGGCATGGGGAAGGGCAGAAGCTGATACATCCAGGCAGTCTCTGCTTCTGCAAAGGCTTCTGGAGCAATGGGGTCTCAGGACAGCACTGCCATGGCCATGGTGGCTGGGCAGTCTTGCCACAGGCCTCCCATTGCTCCCAGGGCAGAGCCATATCAGTTCCGTGCGATCCCTGTGCAATGGTGCTGGTATGAGATGGCCCAGGGGACATCTCTCCCCTCTGAACTTCTCTCTTGCTCACTGCAGCTCATCTTCCCTGACCTGGTCGAAGGACTGGTCCTTATGAACATTGACCCCAATGGCAAAGGCTGGATTGACTGGGCAGCTGCCAAGGTGAGCAAGGCCCCAACCCCTCCTCCTGGCCTTGATGACTCCCTGGGGCTGGAGTGAGCCATGACAGTGCCATAACTCCCTGTGCTCCCTCCACAGCTCTCTGGCCTCACCAGCACACTGCCAGACATTGTCCTGTCCCACCTGTTCAGCCAGGTAAGGGCTGCACATCCTGCCGGTCCCATGCCACCAGCCCCTTACCCATCATCCCAGCTGGGCCACTTGGGTTGTGCCCTGCTGGGTGCTGCAGTGCCACTGGACCTGAACCATGCTCAGGGTTGGGGTTAGTCAAGCCCTGCCTGTGTCCTTCCTGCCTGATCTGAGGCTTAGCCTGGATGAGTCTGTGACTCGTGCCTGTGTCCTGCCTGGGTGTGCTGCCTGCAGCACCACCATGCCCAGCTGCATTGCCTAACATTCTCCTTCTCATCCTGGCTGACTGCCATGGCATGGACAGGACAGGGGGAGTGGGATGTCTCCCCAGCCCTTGCCCTGATCTCCATCCCCTACCGACACAGGAAGAGTTGATGAACAACACGGAGCTCGTCCAGAGTTACAGGCAGCAGATCGGCAGTGTGGTGAACCAGTTCAACCTCCAGCTCTTCCTCAACATGTATAACGGGTTAGTGTTAGTGGACTGCTCCTCTGTGTTAGAGCGAGGGACTGCAGTGCTGATGGGTGGCCCTGAGGTGGGAACCTGGACCTGTGTTGGGTGCTGTCATCACCCTCCAGTGCAGGCAGGCAGCAGTGCCAAGTTGTCTGCCACTGCTGGCTGGGGATGTGGGATGTGGTACCTGTGCCAGGGCCTTGCTATGTCCTAGAGCCCACCACCAGGGGTGCGTATCCCCTGGTCTCCTCCTGCACTGGGTGCTGGAACAGGCCTGGAAAAGGGGGCAGAAATGCTGTCCCATATGTGCAGAGGGTTGGGAGCCTTGCTAGTCTGGTGGGTGCTGCATCCCATGGCACAGGCTCTGCTTGGGTCATGGCAGAGATGGCTGTGGCATCCTCTGTCCATAAGGTGCTGGGACAGCAGGGCTGGATGCTGCTACCTAGGGCTGGCAGTGCCCCAGTTCTTGCACTGTGGCATTGGCAGTGGCATCTGCCTGTGGGCTAATACTGACTCTTTTTCTCCTTCATCAGCCGCAGGGACCTAGACATCAACCGGCCTGGGACTGTGCCCAATGCCAAGACGCTGCGGTAAGAGTTGCACTGGCATGTTATAGTGGCATCCAAGGGCAGTGGAATTTACCCAGGCCAAAGCCTAACTATGCCTCTTCCTCTCTCACTTCCAGCTGCCCCGTGATGCTGGTGGTTGGAGACAACGCGCCTGCCGAAGAAGGGGTGGTGAGTGATGGGGTAGTACTTGTGAGGTGGTACTCAGATGATGCTCATGCGTGGACATGCACATGTTCACTGCCTGATCAGACACATGTCAGCTCCCATGTGTGGGAATGTACTCATGTGCAAACCTGCCTGCTCCTGTGGGCACCTGTGCACATGCATCTGTGCATGGTTGCCATGCCTGGTAAACCTCCCCTTCCTCATATGCCCAGATGTGCTCACGATGTGCGCACTTGGATGTGTTGGCACGTGGGCATGCTCCCTGCTTGACCACATGCACCCACAAGCTGATGGCACACACATGTGCTTGCACATATCCACATGGTTGTCCACATTGCACCGTCAGTCACGGGTACTGTGCAAGTTACTACGTTTGCACAGAATGCGTAACTGCACAGTCCACCCTACTCCTCCATCACATGTACCTCTGTGCATGTGCACATGAGCACAAGTGTGTGTGTACACACATGTGGCACACAGAATGCCTCACCAGCTTCCTCTCCTCCCTTTCCAGCCCCCACCCTTGCCTGGACACTGCCTGGCAGGAGGAAAGTCTCCTCTGTCTGATGGCAAGGGATGGTGGTTCTGTGGGCTCAGTGCTCGCCTAGTGCCTGCTCCTGGCTGGGGTGGGATATGCCACTGGTGGTACACATGGCAACTTCTGCCCAGTTCAGTGCACCCCAGTGTTCTGATGTCATCTCTCTCACCCACAGGTGGAGTGTAACTCCAAGCTAGATCCCACCAACACCACTTTCCTGAAGGTAGGCTGGTGGCAAGGGGTAGCTAGGAGGTCCATTCTGCCCATGAAGTGCCCCATTGCCCTCTGTCCCAGGGCTGCAGGGTGTCCTTATCTCCCCATTCCAAGTCCATCCTGGCCATTGGGGTGGAAGGTGGCCCCAGCAGTGGTATCCTGCCAGTGGGTATCAGGGGATGTTGGGTGGTACAGGCATCCTCCCAAACTAAGCAGGACCTTCTCTCTGCAGATGGCTGACTCCGGTGGGCTGCCCCAGGTCACACAGGTGAGCCCCCACAATTTCCCCGGTTAACTGGGTACACTGGGCCCTGAGACATGCACTGGTGCTGTCCCTGGCTAATGGGATGGGCTGAGAAGGGCATAAGAGTCTTGTGTTGGGACTGCCAGAGGCAGCTCAGGGCTGAGTGGGGATCTCTGCCTCAGTGCTGCCTCAGCTCAGCCTGCTCTCTCCCCACAGCCTGGCAAGCTGACTGAAGCCTTCAAGTACTTCCTGCAAGGCATGGGCTACAGTGAGTGCCGGGGCTGGGCAAGGTCTGGCGTGGGACTGCGTGTGGACATGTGCGTGTGCTTGTGTGTGGGTGTGCTGATCCTGCTGCTGATCCTCCTGTGTGCCCATCCTGATGGACAGCTGCACATGCGTCTGTGGCATTGTCTGTGCAGGTGTGGAAGGTGTCTGTCCATGTGTCTGCAGGCTCTGTGTTCACACAGTCGTGTACAAGAGCTCCTTGTGTACATACATGTGTGGACAGGGTCTCTGTGCAAGTGTGAACGTGTGTGTGTGTGTGCATGCACAAGCAGGGGCTGTGTGTGTACAACAAAGTTGAGCAGAGTCCCTGTGCACAAGTCTCTGTGCATATGTGTGTGTATAGGTCCATGAGCACGTGTGTGTGTGTGTGTGTGTGTGTGTGTGTGTGTGTGTGTGTGTGCAGGTCTGGGTGCACACCTGTGTATACATGTGTGCAAAAGTCCAAGTGCATGTGTGTGTGTTTGCAGGTCTGTTGCACATGCGTGTGTGTGTGTGTGTGCAGGTCAGTGTGCACACATGCAGGTCTGTGTGCAGGCACATGTGGGACTGGGCAGCGGAGCGGCCAGCACGGCTGACTCTCTCTTTCTGCCCTCCCTGCCCTTCTCCCGCTCCGCCCCTGCCAGTCACCCACCTGAAGGATCGGAGGCTGAGTGGAGGCACAGGTACCGCTCAGTGCTGCTCAGCCCGTGCCCGCTGCTGCATGGTGCCTGCCTGGCCTGTGCCCTCTAGCTGCCTGGGCACCTTTGGCAGCAGCCTGGGTGTGGGGCTGGCCCCTCCCAGCCAGATGCCCTCTGGCTCACTCTGCTTTGCCTGAGATGGCACCCTGAGCCAGGGCTGGGGGCTGAGAAATGGCGTTTGGAGAAGTCCCCCCTCCATGCAGGCAGTGTTCACCATGCCCTCCTCCACATGGCCAGGACCTGTGCCCACTGGGCAACCCGGCTAGGGGAGGGTGTCACCTTCCCTGCACACCTTGGGCAGCTGGGGGAGCTCCTATCCCAGTTCACTCCTTCACTGGAGTGTAGCAGCCAGGGGTCCCCACCACCTGATGCCTGGAGGTTGCATGCCCAGGAATGAGCCTGGAGTGCAGCCTGCCCAGGGGCACCCTGGCCCTGCCCTGCTGCCCCTTACCAGCCTGGAGCTGCTCACATTGTCACAGCACCGCTTGCTGCAAGCTTGTGCCCGGGATCATTTGCTTCGGGGAGTGGGACTGTCAGCAATGTTGGCTCAGGTCCTGCTGGTTTTCAGAGGGACCCGAGCACCCCAGCTGTCTCTCTGTGCCCATGCAGTGCCATCTGCCAGCATGACCCGCCTGGCACGCTCGCGCACGGCCTCCCTCACCAGCGCCAGCTCGGTGGATGGCACCCGCCCACGTGCCTGCACCCACTCGGA